GGGTCACGTGATACAAAACAAAATGGCGCCCCCTGCGCCCCATGATTAGAATCTTTTGTTCTAAACCAGGAAAAACTTACTTCTAAATGATGATCTATAAGCTAATGAAAAGATAGGGTGAAAAGTGTGTCACTTGTCCTTTAATCACCAAAGTATGTAAAAAATACTTACTTACAAAGATTTATTTTGTTTTTGGGTCTTCCAGGTTATAATTGACGAAGAGGTACAAACATCCTAAATTTGTGGTGTTCCCTTTGATCAGGAATATTCTTTTGCCACGTAGGCCCAGAACGTCCAGAAAATGTTTGAATTAATCCTCTTCAGTTTGCCTCTCAGTCAATATACCTCTATTAGAAATAGGAATCAGATTGGCTGAAATACAGAATGCCAAAGACATCCCCTTTTTGATCAGCTGACGTGAGTAAATGTATCATTAAAGGCCCGTTCTCCTCATGATGCGAATAAGTTGGAAATAAGTTAGATTTAGCAGCTAGGGCATTTAGAGCCTCTAGCGCATTTAAAATGAAAAGAGCCCATTATTAAAAATATCCAAGAATTAGAAGCTAATTTAAAGAGCAGTTATGCTAAGGTTCTGAAAGATTACAGTATCTCTGATCCAAAGGGAATCAATTTAAAGAATTGCAGGAATGATGTTTAAACGTGGTCCATGTTTCAAATCTTTGCATATATTATAAATAAGAAAGCCTTTGATACAGAGTATGTCGACCAGTACAAGATCAAGAAGGCATATTCGCATCTTATTGAAGGATCTGTACCTGAAAGTTTCTTCATTTAACTTTGGCCGCATAATAAATTGTTCTCAAGGCAAAAGTCACAACATCACACAAAAAAGTGAGAGGGACCAGGGCAGAAATGCGGTTCTTTGCACAAAAGGAGGTAATTTCTCTCGCTGGCTCACCTGTAACATGTACAGCTGGGTTTGGAGAGTGTTGTAACCACATTTGCAAAAACAAACATGTTGATTGATCCAGCCTGTACACCTGAAGCTTGTGTTTGTTAATCGTTTTTAAAGACAATCAGCTGACAGGTCTCGAAAAGGTCACCAGATCACAAGATGGTTCGAAAATTTGGTGACAAAGATCTGGATGTATCACTGCAACTAAAATTCGTGACTTTTTTACAAAAGTAAATGCGATTTCTAGATCGAAGGCAAAAGCACCCAAAATCATGCCATTACTTGCAAAGTTGTTGAAGGACAATGACATTGGGATGTTGCCAGCCATAAAATGGGGACAAAAGCATGAGCAAGATGCCAAAAAAGCCTTTTTCTGTGCTGTTGTATCGAAGAATAAACATGGGAAGCTACTGGATTTTGGCCTAATAACTAACTGCTCATTTCCTTTAATTCGGGCTACTCCAGATAATTTATTTTTGTGCCAATGCTGCGAGAGTCCTGTGCCAGTAGAGTACAAATGCCTGTTTAAGTTGCGGGAGAAGAGTGTAGAAGAAGGAGCAGACGGATTGTACTTTTTATACATTGATGAATACAAAAAATTGCACCTAAAAGAGGAACATAAATATTATTCACAAGTTACGACACTGATGGCTTTAACTGGAGGGAAAAGGTGCTATTTTGTCGTGTTTAGTCCGAGAAGGGAACCACTTATCGAACAAGTCAAATTTGAAGAAAAACACTGGTCAGACCTGGAAAGAAATGCTTTTCTTTTTTTCAACGGGTATGTGGTTCCAGTGCTTCTGGACAGAAAGCAGATTTATTACTGCCCCGAAAGGGAGAGGAGAAACCACGCTTGGAGAAAGAAGAGACACTGGACAAATCAGAAAACAGTATTAAGTGCACTGAGTGTTCCTTTGGTACCATTTGGTTTGTGTTGGAATTACAAGAGACAGGGAGCGATATTGGATTTGTGAGAGGTGCCTGTTATCGTCAGTTTTGCCGTATGAAAACGTATCTATTATAGACGACAGTGACAAATCACAATGAACTATACCATGACTTGATTTATATAATATGCCACTTTGTTCCTGCCCTGATTTGAAAATGTTTGCATATCCTTGTAAACTTTTTTTGCAATATTTGTCAAGTATCCTTCATGGTCCTTGGATGCCTTGCCCTCTGCATACTTCTGGACCATCAGAACCCACAGTCAGAGAGCTCATTGACGATAACAATTCCCTTATTTCAAAACTGCACACAAAGCTCTAGGAGATAAAATCTTTGATTTACAAAGAAGCACCAGCTGTGAAGGGCATTCATCTTCGACAAGTTACACCAAAGAAGAAACCTATAAAGAAAATGAAAAGTTTAATTAAAGGAAACAAAGAGGCTAAAGAAAGACTTGCCACATCACCATAGACAAGTCTGTAGCTTTTTTAAGGAGGATGTAGTAGAGAATATTGTAAGCGACAATCAAGAACAACTAGGTTCTACAATTTTTTGTAACATCAGTTGACAGAGATACAGCAAGAGACAATTGAACAGATTTTGTTGAAAAACATACAAAATTTTTTGTTGGAAGGCAGCAACTGAACAAACATGACTTTAAAAAGATTTCAGAGAATAAAATGCTTAATGACTTCCAAAGTCTATCGTAAATAATCAATGTATTCCAAAGTCTGATGCTGAAGGAACACCCCGAGTCAAATTGTTTACAAGACCATGTCAAATGGTTTACAGGCAAAACATGTTTTTTACTGTACACCGCGACAAATCTTTTGTTAAAATCCTCCATGATGGAAAACTACATTGGATTGCTGTTTCAACATATGGGTGTGAGCCTATGAAGGTCTTCTACTTTGACAATTTGTTCTCTGGTAGAATATCTGAAAAAGCTAAGCGACAATTGGGTGCAATCATGCATTCTTCAATGCCAATTCTGAAAATGCATGTTGTCCCAGTTCAACAGCAATCAAATGGAGTGGGCTGTGATGTATATGACATCATTGCCTTTACCAATTACGTTCTAAAAGAAAAGAGAAATCCTACTGAGGTGACATTTGACCAAGAGACAATGAGGCATAATCTATTACGGTCCTTTGCAGAAAACAAGATGCTTCCCTTTGCGACAACAACAAGAACTCTAAGAAGATGCTGAACAAAACGATTTCATTGGAGGTATACATTTCTTGTACAATGTGCTGGGTACCATTCCACAGCAACATTTTTGGAAGGTAAATTAATTACACATTTACTCACAATCATTCAATTTTAGAAACTTGCCAATTTCCGCCCTAAGATATTAAAATGTCTTATTTTAGATGTGTATTTGAATTCGTGAATGCAAAAATATATTGAACTTGCTTCATTTCATTCAACAAAGATATTGTGTTACCTTTAGAGAAATATTAAGCAGTACCATAAAAATTGCCATAACTATTTTTTTAAATTGTTTCCCATTTTAGACTCATATTCGAAGGGTAATCAAGGAATCTACCTTTTCACCAAAAGTTCAGCTCTTCAAAAACTTAGAGCCTAATGAAGTCCTTCTATATAACTGTGGACGGAAATTGCTTTGAAATTAGGTTGGAGAGCAAAATTCAGCCGTAGTAAGTATTCTTTATTTAAAGATTGTATAATAATGGTATAGTTATTGTATAATTCTATGACTAATAGTTATCGCATTTCTGCCTAAAGACAAGTGTACTGAATAATTTTTAGACAGAAATTCTACTAGGTCACATGGCACGCATAGCGGCAATGGAAAAGAAGCTGGCGGCCATGGATTTCTCTTCTCGGATCATTTTCAACAAAGATATTCTGTTAGAGAAATATTAAGCAGTACCATAAAAATTGCTAAAAAAAAATTTTTTAATTGTTTACCATTTTAGACACATATTCGAAGGGTAATCAAAGAATCTACCTTTTCACCAAAAGTTCAGCTCTTCAAAAACTTAGAGGCTAATGAAGTTCTTCTATATTACTGTGGACGGAAATTGCTTCGAAATTGGGTTGGAGAGGAAAATTTGGCAATTGTAGGTATTTTTTATTCAAAGTATGTATAATTATGGTATAGTTATCGTATATTTCTATGACTCAACCTGCATTTCTGCCTAAAGACAAGTGTACTGAATAATTTCTAGACAGAAATTTTACTAGGTCACATGGCACGCATAGCGGCAATGGAAAAGAAGCTGGCGACCATGAATTTCTCTTCTAGCCTCATTTTCAACAAAGATATTCTGTTACCTTTAGAGAAATATTAAGCAGTACCATAAAAATTCCTAAATAATTTTTTTTAAATTGTTTCCCATTTTAGACTCATATTCGAAGGGTAATCAAGGAATCTACCTTTTCACCAAAAGTTCAGCTCTTCAAAAACTTAGAGCCTAATGAAGTCCTTCTACATTACTGTGGACGGAAATTGCTTCGAAATTAGGTTGGAGAAAAAAAAAGTTGGCCGTGGTAAGTATTCTTCATTTAAAGTTGGTATAATTATGGTATAGTTATCATATAATTCTATGACCCAACCTGGATTTCTACTTAAAGAGAAGTGTACTGATTTTATGTTATTCCTAGACAGGGATTCTACTTGGTCACATGGTACGGATAACAAAAGGGAAAGGAAGCTGAAAGCAAGGGAAAGGAAGCTGACAGCAAGGGAAAGGAAGCTGACAGCAAGGGAAAGGAAGCTGACAGCAAGGGAAAGGAAGCTGACAGCAAGGGAAAGGAAGCTGACAGCAAGGGAAAGGAAGCTGACAGCAAGGGAAAGGAAGCTGACAGCAAGGGAAAGGAAGCTGACAGCAAGGGAAAGGAAGCTGACAGCAAGGGAAAGGAAGCTGACAGCAAGGGAAAGGAAGCTGACAGCAAGGGAAAGGAAGCTGACAGCAAGGGAAAGGAAGCTGACAGCCATGGATTTCACTTCCAGGGGCATTTTCAAAAAACATTTAGGTTTACCAGAGGTAAATTTAATGGATATCTTATCCATCGAGTTTGATATCAAAGTCAAATGAATTAAATCCTATTTTTTCCTATTTGAAATTATACAATTTGAAAAGCTAACCCTGAATCATATTTCTTCCAAATTTTAGCATATTTGGTCAGTGGCCAAGAGTGAATAACTCCTGCACGTGCATGGGAAATTCTTGTAAGCTGCATAGGTTTTTTAAGATTACTTAAAACGATATATTAGCTTGAAATTAATATTTATGGGGAAGATACAGAACAAAAACCTAGATGTTAACAATGTAAAGAAGAAAAAGAAGCTCTCATGTGCATTTGTAATTGATAATTTTTATCAATATTATTTACATAAATAGTGGTTACCATTGATTAGCCTACCTAGTGCTTTTTCCCGCCAGCCTCAAAGAAAATAATTATTGTTATTATTATTATTGATCAAATAAGGATTTGTAACGTTTTTTGTTAGTATGATGACCAGGTCTTTTTCTGTTAACTGCTTATGTTCTTAACTAAGATGGAGTTATCTGAAATACAGCCTTCTACCGTTTTAGGAAAAACCACCGCGTTTGCATCAAGATCCTTAAGTGGAACTTCTATAAATCTATCAGGTAATGTGTTTCTAAAATATTGTTTGTCTTGGTATAGAAAATTCAATTTGAGCACATTTTACATTTGACAGAAATAACACTGTGGTGTAGCAAATCTTCGTTCAAACCAAAGTCATTGTAAAATATCCCTAAAAGAAGCAAATCTTTATGCTTTTTCGAGTGGAAATGGTCAGACGAAAGTTGTATTTTTGAAGAACACTGGGTCTCTGTTTAAGCAGTATGAATGCAACTAACACGAGTTGTCAATAATTGCTGCTGGACCTAAAGCAAAGAAAATTAATTTGATTTGAATCATTAAAATCAAAACAAAGTATATAATTGTGTAATAAAATTGTAATCATTACAATTTCATTGATGGCTAATCATGTGTACGCTTTAATGCAGAGAGTGGTTCTAAGGTGTCCAGAAAAGATATTTTACAGTTGTCATAGGTGGAAAAGCCACAAGGAAACTGAAGTAGTTAAAAGTTATCAAAATCTAAAACTTTTTCAATAATAACTTGAAGGTGATTATTCTAGGGAAGGAAATCAGTTATTACAAGAAGTGGCTAAAAGAAATATTAAATATTTCTAACTTTAACACAATAAATAGGAACCAAGTAAGAGAAACAAACCTTGCTTGAAGCATGTTCGAATATTTCAAAGAAAAGTTTGGGGACTCTTTAGATTCCATCACTTGAAAACCATAGCAAATACCTGAAATGATATTTCTCTCTTATTAACCAGTACTCAAAAATAGCACATGTTTATTTGCATTTGCTATTTTATGTTTGTAAACTACATTAGTACAGAATTGGTCAAAAGCAAAAAATTGCAATTCAATGTCTCTGTGTTCCTAGATCACTTATCGCTAAAGGTTTTAGAATGATCAAGAAAAATGACCTACAATGTTTGCAATAAACAGTAAATATCCCCAGCATGAGCGATTGCCCTTTGCAACCTTTGGAACTGTCAACAGGATTTTGCTCTTTTTCTTTATCCATGTGATAAACACCTCTTTCATAGAGATTGGGCCAACACGGGAAGTATTTTGTGCCTAGCGATTGTGATTTTTCTTGAGCAAGATGAAGTTTGTGCTGTGCTCTTTCGAAAGACTGTAGACAATTTTTTTCCATTTTATCCAGGGGCTCTTTCCAATGGGATGGCATCTTCGACGATTTGACAACAGACAGGGCAATAACTGGAGCATTCTGTTGAATCACCAGCGAAGCTTATGTATTTTTTCCTGCTTGACCCGTTCAACACATTGCTGAAAATACTTCTATAGGTGGGCAATACCAGCAAACAGGAGAGGTTTTATACAATCAGACCTCATTTACCTTTTTTTGTCCTTGCTCCATACAGGATCCGAGGGTGCACTTGAATTTACAAATCCACACACTTAAGACACGCCTTAGAAAGATTTTTGGCCAAAAAGGGAAACATACTGAAAAAGCGAAAACACCAGAATAATAGCAGACTAATATCTCTGTAGCGAGATACAAAAACTTTACAATGTGTAATATAACAAACAATACTGTCAATTGGAATGATTTGAAACTTAACTCACTTCAGAAAAACAAAGGCTTAAACTTGGTAGTCACGCCCACAAATGTGAAGATATACACAACAATACAATCGTTTGCTGAATTCAAAAGAAAAATGATCCTACAAGTCCACTCCATAGATAGCAAAAATGATACAATCGCCTCACCATTTAGGCAGAAACCTGAACCTGAATCTGTTTGAAACTGTGATTTCTTCCATCTATGGAGTTGTATAAATAGACAGATCGTTTAAACAGTCGCTTATAGGCTGTTGCTGTTGTTTTTGTTCAATTATCGATTTTGTTGCATGTCACGTGACAGTTACATACCAGCATTGCATCAGACATTGTACTTTGTGTCAGGTGCATGTACATTGTGTCAGCCATTTTTCTATCGCTTCCCCGATTGGCCAGGAACATGAAATACATTTCTATTAACCATATTTAGTAAAGATATATTATTTCCCTAATTTTAACCTTTGCCCTTAGTTATTCATATATATATCGTGTAGCATAGTTTTTAGAGACACTCGGCGAAAACTGTAGACGAATGAAGTTGTTGTCAAAATCATTTGCTGTTTTAGACGAGATGTGTCTTTATTTGTCTGCTCAAGGTCAGAAGTTAATTCTACTTATTATTTAGAATTCATGCCTTTATGTTAGTTCAAACTAGTGATTAAACATTTGGTTACCCTGTGCGAGGAAGACAATTGAACGAGAAAACTTTTTAAATGCAATAACTTTTTCAGTATTCAAGACATCTTAGCAGGTTAGAAATTATTTTTAGTCGTTTAATGATCAGTATTCACGTTTTATCAAAGATCAAAGCCGTTTTTCTTCAAGTAGAGAGAATTGAGAGTGAACTTTTTATACTTGCCTTACAACGAGTAAATTCAGTTTATTATGCTTGCAAAGAGTGAACTTTGTTTGTTGTGTTGCATCAAAGTTTGTTTGAACAACCCCCATTTAATGGCCTCCCAAACGAAGATGTAAACAAGTGGCTGGGAGAATTCAATAGACTTTCAAAATTTTACAGTTCGTCAAATGTTGGAGCCCAAAATTTGTACTTTGGCAAGGACTAAACGAGCCTTTATCAGTCTACACAGAGGATATAATAAGAAAATGCCAACGTCTTTCTTTTTCGGACATGGAGATGATGAACTTATTTATCTATGTTCTAAAAAACGAAATTAAAAGTCATGTCATTTTGAACCAGCCTAAAACGTTTGTAGAGGCTGATAACTTAGCCAGGCTCCAATCAGCAGTCTCCTCCACTTCCGTATCTGAAAACCTTTTTCCTAGTTTGAGTAACACCCTGCAGGAGCAACAAATAAAAGAACTTGAATGCCTCTCAAATACAGCAAGAAAAACCTGTCAATGCTATTGACACTGCGTTTCAATCCAGTTGACCTCTTTAATATGGTCTTCATGTACTCTCTACCCTATATTGCACAAAGCAACAGATTTTTGCTGTCAACCTTGAATTAGAGCCAGAAGAAATGTCTTTACCTCTGATCTTGGACAACTGTAGGTAGAACTTGACGCGGAGCTGAGTTTTCTTGATAAAGGTTTGACAAGTTAAAATAAGATTTATAAGGACATGGTAGATAAAGTGAGTTCCTCAAAAGAATAACTGTTTGCTCTTGCTTGGGACGTTTCAAGCAGCTAATCGAAATGAACAAGAATTTGCAGAAAATGCCAAATACTGCTCTTGGATCATTGGCTGAATCTGTAACAGGGCACAATAATATCCTTCTAAAGCTGGCAACACTCTGTGATGAACTTCAAAAATCTTTCATTGAAGCAGAGATGCAGGTACTCATCTATTCATTTGTAAGGTTTCCCCATGAAAGAGGGACATGAAGCCTGTGCAGTTCCTGTAAGACTGTTGCTCTTTCGTTCTATATGATACCAGAAAGTTTGGGATTTAAGAGATGAAAGATGCTCTTATTGCAAGAGATCTGATTCTTGTCGGCTTTGTCACTGATAGAGAGTGGAATTCTATGCAAACTCGAGGAAGTTATCACCATGTGACAGTTAAATAATCAATGACGGATGCCAAAAAGAAAACAAATAAGGTTCACATTAATGAAATAAAGCAGTTCTTAATATTATCGGAGCACCAACCATGTCTTTTACAAGACATGGCATTTTTAAATAAATTTTGCATGAATTGAAAGTGCATTGATAGAGCAATTTTCATTTTCAGAACAACCAAATTTTTCCCTTGAAATATGATCCATACCCTTGTCTCCTGACAAAAGAATGAATGAGTTCTGTCACTGCATCCAGTAGTGGTATATAAACTCATTAATGAGTACCAGAGCAAGCAAATTGATTTATAGAGCATCGATCATTTCAAGAGATTGAATCCAGAACAAGAGGATATGTACAATGAAAGAGAAGAACATGGTCATCTTTTTGATGTGCTTAACAAAATGTTTAGGTAACATCTCTTTCAAAAAAATAATTACAGGCTTTTTCATAGAAGCACTACAGGACCCAAAACAGGCCTGACAGGAGAGAAGGCAACATAAATGTGCACGAATGTGAACTTATCTGGTCCTTATGATGTTCCTTGAATTCATGGAGAGCAAAAGTTATAGAAAATGAAGTGATATCCGTGATATCATTAGGAACTGTCCATAGAACTGTTGATGGGTTGAGGATCAAGTGAAGATGACAGACCCATCATATCAAGGCAATGCTTTG